ACGCGCCTGTAATCCAGAACTCAGGAGGCTAAGGCAGGAGGATTATAGCAAGTTTGAGACCAGCCTGGGCTACAAAGTGAGCTCAAGATCAGCTTGAATTATATAGTGAAAAATCCTGTCTCAAAAAGACAAAAGACAAAAAAAAAAAAAAAAAGCCCGACAGTAGCATAGAATCCTGGGTGTGATTTAGGAGCAGAAAGGGTCATTAGAAGGGAATTGGAACCATGTAAAGAAAGTCAGTAGTTTATTTTATAATAAAATAAATTATTTTAATTATTTACTTTTTCTTTTTGAGACAGGATTTTTCATTATATAATTCAAGCTGATCTTGAGCTCACTTTGTAGCCCAGGCTGGCCTCAAATTCGCATTAATAGTGCATCCTGCCTCAGACTCCCAAGTGCTGGGATTACAACATGCACCACCATGCCTGGCAATTTAGTTTAATATTATTATGTAGCATTAATGTCTTAGTTTTAATAACTGTACTATGACTATGGCTGAAGAATGTTTATGAACTATCTTTCCCACTCCTGTAGTCAAAAATTATTTTTACAAAGGATGTATATGAACTGAAGTGGAAAAACATGTCCAGCATCACTTAACTAGCATCAGGCAGTGCATTGCAGTATTGTACATAAGTGAAATTTCCAAAAATTCCTAATAACTGTTTTATTCTGATTTTCTGATGCACAGTGACAGTATTCTTTGCCTGACAGTCTGCTGAATCTGATCTAATCTGTTCTTGACTTGGGTCCTTATTAACCAGCTTCCGTTATTAAACCCAGTGGTCACATTGGGCTGATGAATTAAATGAGTAATTTAAGGTTCTCTGACCCTACCTGTGTCTTAGAGATCATGTTTCTGAGTTCCATTGGTGTTTGTTTGTTCTTTTGCCCCCAGTATTCTATTAGCCTATTAGATCTATTAGCTTCTGGGGTGCCTTTTTTTCTATGATAATTACTGTTTCTGTTTTCCTCTAATGTTCCCTTTCAATTTTTCTCTAATATTTTGTTAACAGAAATCATCTATTTTGAAATTGTTCATACTTGTACCTAATTCATTTGCTTAAATAACAGCCCTCTGACCCACCAATACCTGACATGGAGATGCCTTGTGTTTGTTTGGTGATCAGAGTGAAAGCCTCTGCTGCTTAGGCTTATATCCCTCTCGACATTTCCTAAATGTGTGACTTAGGGTATCCCTTATCACCTCTGGATCAGTTTCTTAGTATGGAAAATGGAACTGATGGTGCTTGTCTCATAGATGCTTCAAAGGACCAAATAAATTGACATGCAGGAAGAACTTAGAGAGGCACGTTAGAGCATGGTACTTATTTATTACTGTTGTCACAGTGCCATTATTGCTACCCACCACATTCAATATGAGCTTTGAGTTTGGGGTCAAAGGATATTTCCTGAAGTACTACAACATCTTGCTATCTAGCCATGCTCAGCAGATTGAATAGGTAAAGCCAGGACTTTGCTGATGTTTTCTTCTCTGAAAAGGCTTTCCCATTCCCTCCCATGACAGTTATGAAAAGGGATATCTGTTGAGTTTGAAATCATTTATCTTGCAATGAAAAAAACCCTTGAGAGAAAAAATTTTATTTTACAGCTCTATACCATATGTTCTGACCAGAATATGTGGTACATGTATTGAAGTGTGTTAAAAACAAATGAAAATATGCCCACATATATTATAGAGATCATTATAATCTTTTCTTCACAGAGGAGGAGAGAGCACAGATAGTATGAGAAAATGCACAGTGTACTTTTGGGTATTCTCCAGAGAATCTCAGCAAACTCCTTGGCTGTTAATGTATACCACTGGGGGACTTTAGCAGCCTCCTTTGGTGAGTATGTCAACAGAGCCACTTAAAAGAACCAAGAGACAGTCTTGCATGCAGCATGGGTAATTTCAGGAATCAAAGTCCAGGAGATCAAAATGCGAGGGTTATCCCTGAGCCCTCTTTGTGCCAAAAAAGGAAGTTAAAGCAATGTTCCATGGTGGTCTGGGGCTAGGAGCCCTACAGCCCAACTCCTGTGTTCATAAGCCCTTGTATCTTCAGAAAACTCATTTCTGCCTCACAGTTATGAAGACTAACTGAGATCATATACACAAGGCTGCAAACTTGTTGCTCTGTGTCTTTAGCACAAAATATTTCTAAATCATAGTAGTTGCTATCATTGCAACAGTGATTTTTATCTAATGTGCCTTCTAGTGTTGCTCTCTTGCCATCCAAAATGGTGAGATGCTCCCACAGAGTTCTCTGAAGTCAGAAATGTCCTTGCCAGTGGGGAATTCTCAGCAGGGATGGAGACGTCTATAGCTGCAGAGGAAACATGAACATTTCATGGGTTGGGAAGATTTCACTTGCTTGGCAAAAACCAGATTGTAAAATGTCTTAATCCAAGTTAAAATAGCTAAATGAAAATTGCTGTGAAGGATGTGGATAGAGAAACAAACCTACTTACCACTACAGGGCAAGTGAGAAATGGGACTCTCACTATAGAGCAGAAGAAAATTTGAGGTGGAGAATGTCTTCATGAGGAAGGTAGATTTCCAGGGCTAGTTGGATTTAGCTCGGTGGCACAGTGCCTGCCTGGCAAGCCTGAGGTCCTGAGTTTGATTCCTGCTGCCCTCCCTCTTAAATCACATGAAAGGAAGGTGGATTTCTTTTGAGATTTTTTTTGTTTCATTTAAAGTTTTAATCAAGACCTTCCTCTCCCCCTCCCCCAAATAGCTGAGGAAAAAAGAGATACATTTTTAAAGTGTGATAACGTGATCTGCAAGATTCAGGTCCCTGCCTAGCGTATCTCTGTTGGAGTCTCAGCCACCCCTTTACTTATGGCAGTTATCACCAATGGATCAGTTCTCCTTATATAGCAAGGATATGGCTCATGGTCCTTCTAATTCAGCCTTCTGTGAAGTCAGTAGAGCTGGTATATGAAGTGAAACTTCTTCAAAATATAACCTCTGACTTTTTTTTGAGACAGGGTCTCACTATGCATGCAGTTCAGGCTGGCCTTGAGCTCACTTTGTAGCCCAGGCTGATCTTGAACTCACAATGATTCTCCTGCCTCAGCCTCCCGAGTGCTGGGATTACAGGACCTCTGACATGCTTTACAGGTGTTTTCTCATTTTGCCCTTATAATTAATTCCTTAAGGTAGAAGTAACCATATTTTACAAATGTAACTCAAAGAGCCCATACCTTCTGGATGCTAAAACCAAGATTTAACTGGGGTTTAGTTCACTGGCACAGCAACTGCCTGGCAAGCGTGAGATGGAGTTCAATCCCCAGTATCAAAAACCAACCAAAGCAACCAAGATTTAGTCCGCAATAGTGTGATTCCAAAGCTAGTGCCTTTAACTACGAGGTTATACTGCTTCTCTAGTCTCAGTGTTCAAACTGGCCAGAGAAATAGATAACTTTTTTACTTTGCCAGATAGGTAGAAGTCCCTGGACTATAAGGATTTCACTTGGTGTCTCAAACCATAATTTCAACCAACCAGCATAAACCAGGCTGATTCTCCTTTCTCTGGTACACCAGTTGGTCCCTGGTATACCAGTGTGCCCCCTTGAGGAGCAAGTCAGCCACTGCTATCAATACCACACTGCTGACTTTAGGCTGTGTTATATATATATTTTAAATTTTCAAAGTCAAATTCATCCTTCAAATAATTTCTTCAAATGTTTAACAGTTCTTACTGCAAGGAAATCATTTCTTCTGCTGCAGTTTGTCTTCCTTGTTGGAAACCATTAATTGCCGTTCCTATGTTACTACATCACATTAATGATAATAAATTTATTAAAAAGATCACCATCATAACAGTTAACTTTAGACCATTTTCATCATCCCTAAAAGAAAAATTGTCATAGTCCACTTAGCTTCTATAACAAAATACCATAAGCTAGTTGGGCATGGTGGTCCATACCATAATCACAGCTGCTGGGGAGGCTGAGGTAGGAGGATTGTGAATTCATGGCTATCCTGGACAATTTAGTGAGGCTGTGTCTAGGAATTTTTAAAAAACAGAAATAAAATACGTGGGGATATATCTCAGTGGTAAAGCACCTCTGGATTCATGTACCAGAACTTGGGGGTAGGAGAGTAAAAAACATAAACTCAGTGATTGAATCATATTTGCTTCCAGTGGGAAATTGTTTTTCACAATTATGGGAACTGGAAGTCCAAGGTAAAGATGCATGTATATTGATGTGTATTAAAGAGACTTGATGTATATTGAAGACTCACTTCTTAGTTCATAGATAATGACTTCTCGCAGGACAAAGGTCACATGGGAGTTCTATGGATCTCGTTAGTAAGGGCAATAATTCATTCTTGAAGGTTTGTTTGGTCTTCATGCCCTAATCACCTGATACTGTCACCTTGAGGATTAGGATTCAGCATATGAACTGTGAAGGAGATATGGGGACACACAAAAACTTAGACCAGAGCAAATCACATATTTATTAGCAGTGTTTTCTGTTTCTCTCTTCCTTTATTCCTAGCAACCATTTACTTTCTGTCTCTATAGAGCCACCTTTTTCAGACATTTTACATAGAACCACACAATATGTGGTCTTTTGTGTCTGAATATATTCTACAGGCATAATGTTTTCAAGGTTCACCCATGTTGTAGCATGAGTCTGTGCTTTGTTCCTTTTTATAGTTGAATAATATCCCACTATATGACTAGATCACAGTTTGTTGATCTGTTCATCAACTGATGGATGTTGAGTCTTCACTCAGGCTGTTGTGTTTTTTTATAGGTTTTTATGTATTAGCATATTTTTTTGCCTGCTACATTTATTTTTAGGTCTTTCCTGAGTGATTCAGTAAACTTTTGATTTGGTCACAGCCATCCTGTGTGACAGCAAATTGCAACAATGGGCTTGTGTGAATTTTATATCGTGATCATGTTTTCTGGATATGTTCCTATGACCTGCCCTCTCACTCTGTTCTCATAGACCTGTTCCGCTCTCTGTTCTTATAGACTTGCCCTTCACGTGGAATCGTGTTTGCTCCCAAATCAGAAGGTGGTGCAGAAGGAGGAACTGTGCAAAACGGCTGTCAAGACGAGTCTAAGACCAGCACCAAGGTAACAAGCTCATGGCTGTTGTTCCTGTCAGTTCCTCTCCTGGCGCATCCACCTAAGGTGACATTCCTGTCTCATCAACTTCTTAGTTCTGGGAATAACTCCTGTTAGGTAATAGCACTTTGTACCCCCTAGTCATTGGGTTTTGTATAGACCAGTGAAGAACACAGTAGAGGCTTTAGGGATTTAGCCTCGTGACCAAAGCATGAACTTAGCATGCATGAGGCCCTGCCCTGGGTTTAATCCTCAGCGCCATTAAAAAAAGATAGGCTAGAGAGTCAGAGATAACCCGTGTAAAATAGAACATTGCTCTGTGGAACTGGGTGGGACTCCTTTCAGGGACAGTAAGAGTTTTAAAATGTGTGGGTTAAAGTGGCTAGAGGATTTATGTACTGGAAGCCAGATACAATATATGGTAGAGTACAGATATTCAAGACAGGAGGCCTCCAGATAAGAAGCATGCCTGGAGAGAGATTCCGAGGCAGAGCAAACAACAGGAGGGGTACTGGAGAAATGGGGCATTGAAAGACCAGGCAGGACTGGACTGGATTGGAGAGCTTCAGGAAAGTTTCTAAAGGCTACCTTTCTCAGTAAGGCCCAGGCTCTATGGCTCTCCACTCTCCTACATCTGCCAAAATATTTGTAAATGCTGCTCAGTCTGTGTGTCCTGCAGTCACAGAGGCTCCCAAAACCATGTTCATTTACCTTCTCTTAAGCTACTGGCCAACAGCCTGGTTTCCTTTCCCTGGGCCCATCATTATACTTCCCAGAAGGTCCTCCAGACTTCCCACACAGCACCCTGGAACCCTGATTCAATGGGAAGCAAATGCTTTGACCCACAGCTTTCTCCTCCACTGTATGGGTCTTCCTACCATCTTACCTCCTGGCTATCTGAACACCTGGACATATTCTTTGACAAAGCAGGGTTGTAGAGAAGCAGCTTGGCAGAGAGGTTAAGTATTGAGTGAGAGCAGATATAAGTAGAGCCCCTTTTATAGGTCAGGGTATCCAACCCTTAGTGAGGGCTCCAGAGTGGCAGAGGGACCAAGTGGGAATAAGCCAAGTGCTCTATGCCACCACTCACTTCCTGTGCTTGTTCCCTCTTTGTCTCGAGGCAGATTTCTGGAGGACCTAGTTCCAAAGCTCAGAATGGACTTCTGAGCCCTCCCCAAGAGGAGAAACTCACCAACAGTCAGACCTCCCTGTGTGAGATCCTTCAGGAGAAGGGAAGGTGGGCAGGCGTGAGCTTGGACCAGTCAGCTCTTCTCCCACTGAGGTTCAAGAACATCCGTGAGAAAACGGATGCCCATTTTGTGGATGTTATCAAAGAAGACAGGTAAAGCTGGGTGATCTGTGGAAGTTACAAAAGTTTGCAGGAGAAACTGCCTTATCTATGTATTTGTTTTCTTTTGTTAGTATGTTACTTTAGAGTAATTTAAAACCTAAAAAAATTACACAAATACCATATGGAACTCCTTTATTTTCCTTGATCCACCAACTTTTTTATTTTTTTATTTTTTGGTACTGAGGATTGAACTCATGACCTTGAGTTTTCCAAGCCTGTGCTTTTGCTTTATTTAATGAGTCATGATTCATCCTTATGCTTATTATATTTAGATGCTTGAGTCTGGCCAGTAACCACCCACTTGTACTGGCTCCTATGTGGTTTTTTACATTACCCTGGCATTTGTATGGGGCATTCTCTTACTATCTACCATAACAAGATGTTCCAAGCATGTTTTGTACCTTTCCGGCTTCAGCTTGAGATTAGCCTTTTCTCCGGAGCCCTGGCCCTTTTGGTGATAGATGGTTTTTAGATGTGTTAGCTATTAATGTCTAATTTAATGTTGTAATACAAGGACATATTATTAATTTCAGTCCTTTCACATTAATTAGGACTATTTTATGACCTCAACATGGTGAATATTTCATGTGCACTTGAAAATAATGTATAGTCTGTATTTGTGGAATGTAGAATCTGTAAACATCAGTTAAATCTGCGTGTTTGGTAGTTCAGATCCTCTATCTCTTCACTTATCTTCTGTCTTATATCACTTATATCAGTTGTTGAGAGAAAGGCATTAACATCCCTAACTATGCTCAATGCGTATACATACTAAGACTATAATTGAGTTGTTTTTCTGGGAGTCACAGATATACATCCTTAAATTTTATGTGATCACCTTAGAATTAATATTGTCACTTAGTTTTAAATGAAAAATTCATGTATCTCATATAGGTTCATTACTGTCTTCTCATTCCCTATGCCGTAGTTATCACATGCATTATAACTACTTACATTATGAACCCCAATGCTCAGTAATCGTGTTAGTCTCTGTTGATTGCTTTTCTGTTGAATATGATCGTGTTTTTCTATTTATTTTGTATACTTGCTAATTTTGGATTAACAATTCAAAGTTTGTATTGTTCACATTGTGTATGATGCTTAGAAAGTCTGAATTTTGTTATGTCTTTCTGAAGAATATCAGTTTTTTGTTTCAGCAGGGAATTAGATTAACTGAGTGTAACCTCCAAACTTTTATCTCTTAATTCTTTCAGTCTTAACTATGCTGCTGAGAGTCTGCCATGTACATGTATCTTAGAGATCAGCTGGAGATTTCATCAAAGTTTATATGCAGAATTTTGGGTTCCACTTCTCTGGTTCTGTCCCTTCTGGGATTTATAACTTAATTTTCCATCTATAGTTACCTCCAAATTATCTTTCTGAGGTTTTAAACCAGTAAGATTGTGGCTACCCCATCTGAGTTTTAACCACCTCCGTACAGTGCTAATGTCTGTCTTCAGGCCAAAAAAAAGAAGAAAGAAAGAAAGAAATGAAAGTAAAAAGTGGAAAATTTACCTGGTATTGTCCCGTTCTTAAAGACAACTCTCTTCTGCCTGCCCTCATCACTCTCCTATACTGCCCAGTTATATTTTTCTCAGAATTTACCATTGTTTTCTGTGAGAGGATTGTTCCAAAGGAGTTACACCCTTCTCAGTAGTTGAACCTCCCAATATTGATTTAAAAGGAGTAACGTCGCTTTTAGAAGTGTTGATTCTGCCATTTAACTGCTGAAATGTGGCCATCACACGTCTTCCTTACAACTGCTTTTTAATTTCTCTTCTGTCTGTATACTTCTTGAGTGGAAGAGAAAAGACAGAGTTAACTTCGGGGAACAGAATTTTCTTTCTTTTGAACCTGAGCATGTTGTAGGATATTGTGCACTTGTTACAAAAGTCCTCTGTGTAGCAAAGAAAAGAAGTTACCTATTGACCCTGTTGTGTGTCAGGGACATGATAAAAAGACACTTGCATGTTTTATCTGATTTCATGCTAGTAGCTAGCAAGGGAGGGAGTCTGCATCCCACATCCATATTTGCCTTCTGAAATCATGTTAACATTCTTCTAAATTTATAGTAATATTCTTCAGAAAAGAATGTTACTGTTTGCTGGCAATTCATGAAAGAATGAAAGAGTCATGTAGAGCAGATTTGATCTCTGCTATTAATATCATTGAGCATTATCATTTTTCAGGTTTCACATACAATCTGTAATGTGACAACAGCACCAGAATTATATAACTATAAACATCATTTTGTGGTAACAACCTGTTAGCTCTTATGGTGGTAATTACTGTCAGTAATTTGGATGACAGGACAGCTGGTTCTGAATCAGGTTTTTATTTGAAGCCTTCAAATCATTATAAGTGCAGGAATCTTCAAAAGAGATCATTTCACATGACAAAAAGCTGCCTTTCTTCTCTTGTAATTTTGGACTTAAGGAGTTGCTTTAGAAAACAAGGTTCTAGTAATGTGTGCTATGATGGTGGGAGAATGGTCATCTTTAATAGAGATGGAACATAAAATGTCATGTCTAGAAACACAAAGGACTTTGCAGAGGTGTGTTTTTAAAAGGGGCAGCAGAGCAGCACATGTCACAAAGACCTTCAGACACAGCTTTCATCATGCATTCAGCAAGTGAGGTTTTGGTAGCTGATTGTGATCTTCTGATACAGTAATTGCATTAATCAATTGCATTTTTGTATCTTTTAGCCTGATGAAAGATTATTTTTTCAAGCCACCCATTAATCAGTTCAGTCTGAACTTCCTGGATCAGGAACTGGAGCGGTCCTACAAAACCAGCTATCAGGAAGAGGTGCGTTGTTTTTTTTTTTTTTTTTTTTTTTTTTTTTTTTTTTTATTTCACTATAGAAACCCATTGCTGTCATAGGTAGTTCACTGTTCATTCTGTGTTTTAGCAAGTGACAGGGGAATAAAGGAATGTAATCTGTAAGCCCTAAGTTGCAACTCTGTGAATTTATCTTTACCTGTGTAACTGATGTTTCTAGGCCTCTGTAGCTGTCCTGACCCTGGAAGGGTTCTCTGACTGTATCTGTTGTGGTTTCTTAAGCAGCACTTCTCCCTCTGTAGTCCTGAATCTTTGACAACCTCAGAGGGATCTTTAAAAGGCACAAATATAAGAACCTGGAGCCTGGCTGGAGTTCTAAGCAACAGGTCCCTGCATTCTTTCCTCCGGACCAAAACCTAACCTCTCTGAATTCAAGTCAAAAGTACATACCTGCCCAAACTAGGACCAAAGGAATTTTTTCATTCTTCCAGGTATTCATTCTGCAGATCTTTATATCTGTATGTCCAGATACTAGTCCAGACTCCATATAAAGAACATGGTGAACGGATACAGCTGGTTTGTCCCTGCAGGACTGGAGGTGCCCCATTCTGTCAGCCTCCAGGGGACATTAAATATCAGTTAACAGCCCAAGCACAAGTCCTGCTGTGAAGAGCTGGATAGTTGACCTGTGAGGCAAAACATGATCTTATTTAATGTTTATAACAACCCTTTAAAGCTTTACCAAAGAGAAAGCCAAAGCTAAGAAAGGCTAAATAGGTAGCCCACTTCTTAAAGGTAAGTTGAATATTAGCCTCTTTGAGTTCAAGCCGGATTTCTCAGCCACTCTTTGTGCTGTGTTATGCAGACACCAAATGGAAGGCATGTTTATCATCCTTTTCTCTAATCACCATCTGTTTGTTGAGCATCACTCTGCATATGATGGTTCTCAATGTTGGGATATTAAAAGAGAAAGGTACATCTGATAAGGGAGCAGGAATTAGAAATGACATCTCAGAGCCATAGACAATACTAGTCTGTAAGTAGACAGTAAGGAGCAGCCCCAGATGGAGGGCTCAGAGGAGATAACTGAGACACTTCAATGAAGGACTAAGAATGAACCAAATGAAGTAGGAGGGAGCGACCAGGCCTCCAAACCTGGGAAATGTGGAAGAGCCAGATGCATCCAGGGAAGTTCAGGGTCCTCAGTGGGTGAGGTGGAAGGAGGAATGCACCAGAGGTCAGATGTGGCTGTCCATGCACAGAGACTATGCCAAGGCTAGAGCCCACATAGGATATGACCCTATCAGGTGGTGTTTCATAGAGATTACACGGCTGAGTTATGGAAAGTGATAGAATGGACAAGATAATGGGAGGCTGTTACTGACCACAGGCCAAGTCCAAGGCCTATCCCAAAACAGGGGCAGGTAGAGAGGAGGAGAGATATAGGAGCAAGGAATTTCCAAGTGTACCCCATGCTTCAATGCTTGCTGTACATAGTGCTCCACATTGGTGTTTCTCATGTAAACATTGCCATCAGCCATGAAGTGCAGGTAGCCTGTTTTCAGAGGAAACTGAGGGGCCAAGGACATAGCTCAGTGGCACGGTGCCTGCCTAGCAAGTGCAAGGTCCTCAGTTTGATACAGGAACTAAAAAAAAAAAAAAAAGAAGAAGAAGAGACTGAGGCATAGGCAGGTTGGGTGATGAGCACAATATGTCACAGTAGGTAGTAGTGGAGCCTTGCTGCGAGCCTAGGTAGGCATCTTCTAGCGTCTGTGCACTGATAACTAGGGCAGGTCAGCAGCACTTGGAGCCTAACTGGATGTGGACATAAGGGGCCACAGATCAGCTACACATCCCTTACAGCTAGGATGATCCCATCTCCAACTGTGAATCCCATGGGGAGAGAGAAATGCTAGGCAAATATGGTTCCTGGCTAGATATGGACAGACAGTATTTCTGGAGATGCAGGCATAGGTAGAACTAGGCCCAGGATCCTCTGTATCAGATGAGTACAGAAGTCCAGAGCAAGGACACATGGAAGGGAAAGAACAAGCCTAGGTGGATATGTCTGGGAAACCTAACCCCAAAGCATCAGAGCAAGCAAAAAAGATGACAAAGCAGGTTGAGGGTTAGGGTTAGAGGGGGCCTCAGGCCAGAGTCCAGAATCTGAGGAGGTATTCACTGGTGCTAGGTACCCACCTTGTCTGGGATCCCCGTAGTGCCAGGAGTCTTCTTTGGTTACATGTGTCAGGCTTATGATGTCAGATACTACAACAGAAGTTTCTTCAGTGTTGATTAGAATGACTAAACCAAGAAGCGTGGTGCCTGCCCTGCTGTGTGAGTAGGGGAGGTGGGAAACCTTGGCATCAAGAGGGAAAAAGGATCTCCTCGTACTGTGGCTACCCTGCTGTAGACTTGAGGATGACCCTGGGCCTTTTCTGCCTAATGTAATCCAGCTACAATAAATCCTGGGTATTCCCCCAGAGCATTAGCTGGAGCCTCAAAGATGCATATGTCCTTATATACAGGGAGTCAGCATTGGCAGCTTTTCCCCCAAGATTCTCAGCACCCCAGAGGGAAGTCAGGACCAGGTGTATGAATACCAGCAGAGAGAGCCTCTGAGTTCTTTGGAACACAGTCCTTCACTGGGTTGCTCTGGCAGGTCCAGGACTGGCATCAGAGCTGACCTGAAGCTTCAGCCCTCGTGGCCAAGGTCTTCCTTCTCCTATCTCACACAGCTCCAGGGACCTGCGCTGTGGAGCCAGAGCCAGTTTGTCCCAAGTAGATCATGTCCAAACTAAGGGCCAGTTATAGGACCTTTCCTTTCCATGCATTCAGCCTCACCTTTATGGGATTGTCAGAAAGTTGTAGCACTAAATGAAAAGCAACTTCGGTGGTTTGCTGCTCACTTTGTTCCCCATAACAGTCCCACTCTTTAGGTTCTATGTTGTCATTTTAAGAGATCCCAAGAAGTCATGGGTTCACTTGAGAATCAGTTTGTCAAGTTGAAGTCTGATCTGGCTCCATGTTTGTTGCATGACCTTGAAATAGTCACCCATCCTTGGCCTCTCATTTATACACCAAAAGGAGTAGAACTTCCTTTTCAGTGGATTGCTGTGAGAACCTCTAAAGAGCTCATACTGAAACTAGTCTCTTGGACACATTATGATCATTCCTTCATCTTCAATTCCTCAACAGTTTGTATATGTCTCTTTATATGCTTCATACACCTTCTTCCTTTCCTGTTCCTGACCCTTCTTCCTGCTGCTAGGCTTCTAACCTCCCATGGGTGTTGTTTTGTGTCTACCCATACCCCACATAGCCAGTCTAGATCAGGTTGCAAACTGAAGGCCCTTGATCACAGTTGTGTGCTCATATTCCACATGCAGGAGCTTTTCTCTACTGCTGTTCAACACTGTTCCATAGGATGTCTTGTACTACCTGATGGGACTGTTACATGCTGCCATATAAGATAATCATGCATGGACCACCAGTGAATCAGAGCCACCTAGCAGCAAGGCAAATTACAGGCCTACCATGAACATGTTAAATCACTGCCTGTCTTCTATTTTGAAGTCAGCTTTCACAGCCCCTGAACCTAGGACCCAATCCATTAGGTAGAAGCTTCTACTCTCTTGCTTATGTCCAACTGCCTTTATAGATGTGGACTAATTCACTCTTCCAGGCAGTTACTCATGTTTTAGGCTCATCACATGATGTGATGTGAGGATGTACTGATTTGTAATCGGTTTCTGAGTATCCCTGGGCAAGTTGCTTGTGTGTTTTTGTTTTTGTGTATTTTCAGTATAAGGCCTTCACACTGAGCAATATCCCTGGTCCCCTTCTTCTTTTCTTTCTCTCCCTTTCATCCTTCATTCCTTCCTTTCTTCCTTCCTTTCTCTCTCCCTTTCTTCTTCCTCTCCTCCTCCTTTCTCTCTCTCTTCCTTCTTTCTCTCTCTCTTTCTCTCTGTTTCTCTGTCTTTCCTTCCTTCCTTCCTTACTTTCCTTGAGACAACCTTTCAATATGTAGTAGAGACTGGCTTTGAACTCACTATATAACCTGGGCTAGCCTCAAACTCAGCAATCCTCATACCTCAGCCTCCCAAATGCTGCTGGGATTACAGGTATTTGCCATCACGCCTAGCTTTTATTTTTTATTTTGATACAAGTTACTCAGGCTGGGCTTGAACTTATGATTTTCCTGCCTCAGCCTTCTAGAATACTAGGATCACAAGTGTACACTACCATACCCAGCCAAGGCAAGTTTCTTAGCTTCTGTGTGCCTTTTTAAAAATTATTACTAAATGAGAAATAGCAAGAAAATGGCCCCCTAAGTCACCCACTACCTTGTACCTGGTCTGGAATAAGTAAGCACTCATTAAACATTACTATTTTTTCCCTTTGAATTATACTCCATCACCTTTTCAGTGGTGTTAATTCATCCTAGTCTACTCCTGCTTCACACAGGTCATAAAGAATTCTCCTGTGAAAACTTTTGCCAGTGCCACCTTCAGCTCCCTCCTGGATGTGTTGCTGTCTACAACAGTATTCCTGATTCTCTCTGTCACCTGCTTCCTGAAGTATGGAGCCACTGCCACGCCTCCCTCACCAGCTGCCCTGGCTATCTTTGGTGCAGCCCTGCTGCTAGAAGTGTTGTCCCTTGTGGTGTCCATCAGGTAAGCAGTGGGCAGCTCTCTAGTATTTAGCCTTTAGCTCCCTCTTCTGGTCCAGCAATTTATGGCAGAATAGGCTGACTGCAGCCCAGCAGCATGGGAGTCAGCTGTCCCTCCAAGCTCATTCCGGGAAACGGGCCTTCCTTGCCCACTTCCACCCCACTTCACAGCATCCTCTTGCAGACACTGGCCTTCACTGTAGCTGGGAATCTGCTCACTGGAGAGGGCCCATACCTTCTGCTGGCTGGGCTGCTACAGCTTTCTTTCAGTCTTCTATGTCAGAGACTCAGGAAGTGGAAAGAAAGGAAATGAGAAAGGACAGAAAAAAGAGAAAAGAAGTGCATGGGGAGCAAATGACAGGTGCAGGGAAAGAACAGGTACCCCATTTCAATATAAGAAGCAACCCTCAAACCTTTAGAGATGACAAAAAAGCACAAGCAATGTAAGGAAAAAATAGATAAATTGAACAATCAAAATCATCAAACTCCCAAAAATAGATAAATTGAACCTTTGTGAACACCATGAAGAAGGTAAGAGTAAGCTGGGCATGGTGGCGCACACCTGTAATTCCAGCACTCCAAAGGCTGAGGCAGGGGGGTTGTTGTATTGTTGGAAGTTCAAGAACATCCTAGGCTATAAAATGAGCCCAAGGCCAGCCTGAACTGCATAGTGAGATCTGTCTCAAAAAGACAAGAAGCCGGGGATTTAGATCAGTAGCACAAGCGCCTGCTGGGCAAGCGCCCCAGTTCAAAAAAAAAAAAGAATGAGAACCAAAATGGGAGGAAACATTTGTAGGTCACACCAAGACAAGGATATAATAGCTAGAATGTAAGAATTCATACAGCTCAGTAATAAAAAGACCATTTAAAACAAGAAGGTAAAGAATCTGAGTAGACAACATGTGACCTGCCTTCTGGGTCCTTGCACCATAGCCACCTCACCCTGTCCCAGCAGCTCAAGAGAAAAGACTTTCAGCCTACCAAAATCCTCTGGTTATTGCACTCAGGAGATAAAAGTAAAACAGAAATGGGAAGAAAGGCCCTGACCATTAGTTTCTGCTACTCTTATCTATAGTTCTTTTTGTTTTGTTTTGTTTTTGGTACAGGGGATTGAACTCAGGACCTTGTGATTCCTGGCAGGCGCTGTGTCACTGAGTTGTAACACTGGCTAGTTTCTGCTGCTCTTAACAAACATCCCAGTGCAGAAAAAATGAGCTAAATACCATCCGGAGGCTTCCAAATGCTGATTTCTCCCCTTTAGAGTAGACAGGACAATCTGTGTCCACGTTTCCACACCTACCATCCCACATGCCCCTCTGGCTTTGCCAAAGCTGAGAATAGCTGCTGAGGCCAGTGTTCTCCTCCCTGGATTAAGATGACACTAAAAGTGGTCACCACTGTTCTGAAGTCTCTGCCAGGATCAAGCACATCACCCACAGAAGTGACTGTTCCTAACTGCTTTCCCTCCCCATCTTAACCCTTATGCCCAACCAGGGTCTGCCAAAGAAACTATTCATACATCTTCTCAAGATCTGCTTCTGAAGAACCCAAACCAAAATAACGTCTGGCACCTTGGTTAGTCTCACCCCTTTTGTAAAAGTCAGCTTTATTATGGTAATTCATATACAATAAACTCATCCAAGCATAGAATTCAGTAATTTTTTAGTAAATTTAGAGAGCTATATAAACATACCACAGTTATAATTCTAGGATATTTCCCTTATTCCAAAAAGTGCTTTCCAGATTTTTTTCTTACACAGGAACCTGTAGCTGTTCATCTTCCTAAAGCTAACATTGTTACCATACCTTTTTATTTTTACCCCTTTAACCATTGTTCCCTGTTTCTTTGGATCCAGTTCCAAAGAATATAGATGCACCTAGACTCAGACATGCATAAGGCTGCAGGTGAGGGCTGGTCCATCCGTACCTGCACACTCCACCGTGGCTGGAGAGTGAGGTGGCCACTCTGCTCCCTCGTCGTGAGCATTGTGGTGATTGAGTTCAGCCCGCCAGCAACTTTCAAAGCCTTTGAGAGATTGGGCCCTTAAAGGGTTTCCACTAGGGGCTGGAGATTTAGCTCAGCGGCATAAGCGCCTGCCTTGCAAGTGTATGGTCATCAGTTCGATCCCCGGTACCAATAAAAAACAAAAAAGAAAAGAGTTTCCACTGGCTCTGCAGGTCTTGTATAGAATCCTAGATAAAACAGAACAAAACAAAAAAACCCATTCTGTGGAATATATAGGTACCCCAAAGGAGTTAAGTTCTGTTTCCTCAGTGACTGACCTGGGATGTTGCTTATCTCTCAGAAGGCGTCCCACACTTCAACTTTAGGTCTTCTTCCTCTACTTAATCCCCAGGGACTAGCTGGTCTCATCCTCAGATCCATGTGATTTCAAGCACAATTGTAAAGGGCCCTCAATGCCCTTGTCTACTGGCTGGGACTCTACTACTTCTTCCCCCATCACAGGGCCTCTGTACCCTGCCTGTAAGAAAATCTGTGGTTGTTCTTGGAGATATTCCAAAGGCTCTGTTATCCTTTAAATATTAGGAAGCTGGAGCTCTCTAGTACACTAAAACTGCTAGGCTGTGCTTGTGTCTACATGAGAAATGATTAAGAGTCAGTAGTTCCTGGTCATGGCTGAGTTCAGTTAAGCTGTTAGTGTACTGCAGGTATTCTGGGTGATAGGTTCTTGTGCTGCTGAATCAGAGTGGCAGCTCGTGCCTTTTCAGAGGCATAGGCAGTGGGCCTGTCACTGCTCCTCAGTCACTGCGTGAGAGAAGATTTGGCCTCCCTGGTAACATGGATGTTTCCAACCCAAGAGGACTCTAGAAGCTCTGCTCCATCTCGTGTTGCTGGTTCTGCCCTTACCCAGGAAGCCCCTCCTTCAGCCAAGGACCATCCCTCTCCTCACATACCTAGCTCCCCCTCTGTATAAAAAGAATTTTACTGTGTCAGCATCACCTTCCTGAGATGTAGCTCTACCAGACACACAATTGCAAAAGGAGTCAGTAAAATGCCATCACTGTGATATGAAGGAAAAATGGAAAGACCATTTAAAGTGAAATGCACAATGTTTCACCTCATACATGTCAGTGCACTGCTACCTGGAACATAGCAAAACTGTCTGTTATTTTTCTCTCATGCCCATGTTTGTGTGGCAGTCAGGAATCCAGGTCCTATAGGCGTGGGACTGGTAGCCATGTTCCGTGAACTGGGTTCACTTAGTGATGCGACTTTCTGAAATGCCAAATGATCCTTGATATCCCAATTAAACAAAGGGTAGTCTTTCCTTAGTTTTTAGAGAAGCTGAAATTCTGCAGGATTATTATGCTACCAACACCCAAAACTGCCTACTCATTCATGAAATACTATCCAGCCTTAGGCTTTTCACCTCCTTGCTTATCCAGGCTGTGAGTGGCAATTGTGTGAGATACAACACAGAGCTTCACTGTGTGGCTTATGCCCATGCCAGGCAGGAGTCTCCATCCCTGGCTCCCACCCACTAGGTGCCATGAACTACCCTCCACATTAGAACAACCAAGAAGTTCCCACAGAGCACTCCAGAATGGCTCCATTGGCTCCACCCAAAACAGGTAGAAACAGGTGACTGACTGCACATAGTGCAGCCATGACTTTACTTAGGGCCTGTTACTGGTCTTCCGTGTTCTGTTGGACTCACAGAGGCTTTCGACAAGCACATTTTACCAGGACGCAACAGGTGACCTTAAAGTCAGGTGTAATGAGCTGAGTCCAGTCTATGTGCCTTTTACCAAGTGAAGGATGGAGAAGCTCTGCCTCCTACTTACACACCTGCCTTCGAGGCACCAGCAGCAGCATAGCACAGTTGAGAGCAGCCCTGGACCCTACCGCCAGTGGTATTGACAGGCTAACCACTGGGCCCCTCTGCCCCTGTTCTCCCTTTACCCCTGTCCAGGATGGTGTTCTTCCTGGAGGATGTCATGGTATGCACACAGCGCCTGCTGGAGTGGATTGCTGGCTGGCTACCTCGCCATTGCATCGGGGCTGTCCTGGTATCCCTTCCTGCCCTTGCTGTCTATTCACACATCACTTCTGAGTTTGAGACAAACGTACATGTAAGTAATGGTTGATCATCTTATCTCCATACTGTAGGCTCCCTAACATCCTACACTCTCTGTTTAAGTAACTATGATTACATGGGACATTGGTTTAAACACAGGCCCTTCAAGAGATGACTCTGTTATTTCCTCTAGCCTGCTATTTAAAACACAATCTATAAATAAGTAAACAAGCTTCACTGTGTGACTTATGTCCATGCCAGGCAGGAGTCTCCATCCCTGGCTCCCACCCACTAAGTAAACAAACAAAGAAACAAACAAACCATAATCTAGTGTGGACCTATTGCTGGCCACATGGAGATTTCCCAGTGAGCATGATGAAACCTTTCCAACTTCACTTGCTGTCTGCCAAGTTTCAAAGCAGCTACAGGTGGTCCCTGATTTACTATTTTGACTTCATGATGGTGTCAAAGTGTGCCCATACAACCATTCTGATTTTCACTTTCAGTATTCAGTAAATTACATGAGGTTATCAAGAGTTAATTATCAAATAAGTCAATGTTAGATAACTTTGCCCAGTTGTAGCCTCCTGGAGATGTTCTGAACACAGTTAAGGTGAGTTAGAGTGTTGTTTAATAAATAAGGGGTATTAAATGCATTTTTGGCTTGTAATAATTTACAATGATGATGGGCTTATTGAGATTGTAAAGTAAGAAGTATTTGTATTTTTCTTCATGCTTTGCAAAAAGTGCAGCTGTCCCAAGTTCTCAACTGATGTAAGATAATATGCTCTTCTTCAGAACTGGCACAAGTCCTTGACTTGCACATGGATCAGCTTTCACTGCTAAAGGAGCTTTTGAATTAAATTCCATAAAGGGTGAACTAATGCTGTGGTAGAAAATTATATTTTTGTTAGGTAGCATGAGCTATCGAGATTGACTGGTTGAACTTGGTATTTAGTGTCAAAATGCATCTCAGCATGTTTGTAGGTGCTTTAGTTGAATCCAGTTTTCAAATTAGCCTCCAGAGAGGCTAAAGGAAAAGTGTTTGGAAGGTAACATCCCAAGGCAATAATTCTCCTATGGGCAGCCTCCTTTTCCTTTCCAGGAAAATGATATGTGCCATTACCACACATCCAGAGGAGAGTCTTAGTGCCAGTGTGACCTTATAACCTAAAGCACTACTTCATTAATGTAAAGATGTGTGATCTCCCCTTGCGGCTACTGGCTCACCAAAAGTAAGAACTGTTGCACAAGGATAGGCCACTGGGTGGTGTTAGCAATGTTCTGTATTAAAGGGATACGTGGGTGAGCAAGCAGGGCCTCTGGTGTGGGACGGGCTGGATGGGACATGGGGCAATGTGCAGGAGGAGTGGGAACATGCTGTCCTGACACTGGCTTCTCTTGCAGTTCACTGTGTTCACCAGCTCAGCCGTGTTAGTGGCTGTCGTGCACTACTGTAACTTCTGCCAGCTCAGCTCCTGGATGAGATCTTCCCTTGCCACCATCGTGGGGGCCGGGCCACTGCTTCTGCTCTACATCTCCTTGTGTCCAGACAGGTAAGCAACTGGAATCCTAGACTCATTACCACCTCACCTGATGTCATTTAGGGCTCTACAGCACTTTCACATTAGCACTGATGTCGGCTTTGATAACAGGTGTTTGCTATCATGACCAAAAATGACTTCCAACACATGTAATGTCCAAAAAATAAAAATGTGTCCAGGAACAATATGCAAAAGAAAATTCAGTTATAACAACATATGATAGGTTGAGCATTCCTAATCCAGTAATTCAAAGTCCAAAGTGTTAAAACTCCAGATGTTTGGGGGGGGGTTTGTTTTGTTTGTTTGTTTTGTTTTGTTTTGTTTTGTGGTGCTGGGCATCAAACCCAGTGCCTTGTGCATGTAAGGCAAGAACTCTATCACTGAGCCACGTCCCTAACCCCAATCCAGAAGTTTTTGAGCACTAACACGCTATCATAAATCTTCTGTTCATTGTACACAAACTAATATATAACATTACCTTTAGGTTATCTGTAAACTATATATGTGGAATATAAATGAATTTTATGTTTAGACTTGGTTCTTTTAAATATTTTGAAATCCAGAATTATTTTGGTCCCAAACATTTTGGGTAAGGGATATTCAATCAGTATATGTTTGAATATAGACTTCTTTGAATGACTTTCCCTTGAAGGCATGATGCAGTAGAGACACACCTGAACTCACTCATAATAAATAAATTGAAATTTAAGAGAGTAAGACCCAAAACCATCTCACAAAAGACGACAAAGCCACTAAAAGAGCAGAGGTCTAGGTAGGCACAGAGATGAGGAGAAAGTGGAGCATATGTGTTCTAGGACAGGTTACAGTTATTAGAGTGAAAGAAATGAAGACATACGGTGATTTTACAAATGGCTTAGGTCTTATTTATAGTATTATGGTACTGTATATTATATCAGTCTCCATGTTATGACAGGAGAAAGAATGACCAGTTACATCTGTCTTTGATCTTGAACTCCTTCTACATAATGAAAAGTCAGTTCAGTCCCTGGTACCTTGAATCACCTTCACAGCACTATACCTAAGAGATGCTGAGGAATAGAAAGGATGGTGTAGCTAAAGAAGCAGGAATCCATGGTGGCTCTTCGGGAGCAGGAGCAGTTTTCACTGTGCTACAGAAACTTTAAAAATAAAAATATATCAGATGGCAGTGAGATGAGCATTTAAAGTATCTTGTAGTCTCTCTTCCCTTGGTTCTTCTAATTGAATAATGTTTGGTTGTTTGTTAAAATGAGTCCCAAATTGCTTGTTGCACATCTGTAACTGTTTTATGACTCTTAAGCTTTGTCAACTAAATATGTTGTTGGAAATACAATAATGCCTTGGATAGCAGAATGCACATATTGAATGTTTTATTTATGATCTCTTAACCCATTGAGCTTCTGTTCCTGTAAAAAACCTTTCATAAATATCTAAATATCAGGCTTTTTCTTTAACTTATAAAAAATATGTGACTATTAGCATGTATGAAAGAATCACTTATTCATGATTATAGAGGATTTAGGAGAATAGATTTTTTTTGTCTTTTTGAAGCATAGTTTCATTATGCAGTTCAGGCTGGCCTTGAACTCACTTCATAGCTCCAGCTGGCCTCAAATTTGCAGCAGTCCTTCTGCCTCAGCCTCCCAAGTACTAGAATTACAGATATATGCCACATGCCTGGCGAAAACAGCTTATTTTAAGGTTACATGGGATATTTCTTCTTTGTGCTTTACAGAAAGCACAAGTTATTAGGACAACCAGAGAGACTTTCATGTTTCCCAAATGACTCACTAGGAATACCACTGAGAACCACTGCTTTAGTAATCTCAAAAGCCCAGAATGATCTAATTTGTTCCAGTATTGACAGAATCAAATGAATAGCCTCAGTGTATCTTTGAGTATTAATAAAGCAGTGGCCAGTAATGGACAGTAAGTATCCTTCCTCAGTTTACTTAATAATAATGATATGAATTATATGCAAACTAAGATCACAAAGGGAATTTAAAGTAGAACTGCCATTCAGCATTTGAAAGACCATAATGAATAAATTATTTTATGCAAAATAAATCATACTTTTACATTTATGAGGATGTGGCCATTTGGAATTATGGTCATTTTAAAGGTCTGCATCAAGAGCTTGAAATTCAATCTACCAACCTATAACCTCAGACCCAATACAGAAAATAGACCCTTGCAGTGACCTTTAGCCAGAGCTGTAGGGCTTTTCCTCTTGGATACCAAGAGACAAAGTGGTGGGGACTTCCTGCCCAGATTTGCAATAGCAGATCTTGGGGAGGGGCTGGTGGGTGAAGCTTCCGCTGCCCCAGGATTCCTCCTACAGTGAAAATCCTCGGAGCTCACCCATGATGTCATTATCATCATCACTGAGGAGCCTAGCCAGGATAGGGAGCAAGTGAGGTGATGAACAAAAGACCTAAGTGCAACTCTGCAAAAGAGGAGGGAACTTCAGATAACTGAAACCCTCTAGCACTGGGGACACAAACACCAAAGAAGCGGTGGGCATGTGGATCGTGACATTCATTTAGATGATGTCCTAAAAAAGAAAGAGCTGTTTGTTTAAACTCTTCTCGGGTTGCTTTCTGTAATGCCTTCTTTGCTTTTTAAAATAATACTTTTCCATATTTTAATTTCAGTTCCATAGTAATTTCACCCCTTGATGTGGCACAGAATTTCAGGTAAGCTTTTAACGTGCTGGTTTCTTGACAAATGAGAACAGCTGTCTTATTGCTATTTATTTCTAAGCTCTCAGAAATTGTGCGGCAAACAAAATGAATAATATATGCATTCTTAAAAGAGAAAATGGGAAATAGCTACTTGTTGAAATATCAGATTCTTTTTATATTAATTTAGTGGAAAAAATAATTTTTTAAAAAATGAGCCTCATTATGATGCCCATACTGTTCTCAAACAGTCCTCTTGCCTTAGCCTCCAAGTGCCAGCCAAATGATTATTAAGATATATATATATATATATATATATATATATATATGTTTAATTTTATAAGACTTTAATGTGTTAACAGAAGAAATCTCACCCCCCCAAAAAAGAAAAAGTTATTCCTTGAACTAATGTATGCATTTGCTTTATTATTATAAACACCAGAATATTAAATAAATTAAAAAGTCATACTAAAAAGTGAACTATAAAATCTAGAAAAAATAGTTTTTAAGCTTTTATGGCAGAGGTAACTTTCCAGTCTTAGTAATGACTACCATCAAAAAGAAGACTGACAATTTAGAAAGGAAGAGAAAGAAAATCAAAGCAATTGGAAAAGTTGTGAAACTCTTAAATAAAAGAGTTAATTAAGATTGGCATGGATGAAGGACAAAAAAAACCCCAAAAGTTCACAAAAGAAGAAATATGGGTAGAAGATGAATATAGACACATCAGTATCATTATAAAGTCACTGTACATTTAAATATCTACACAATACCTGCCATCTTTTAAATTGTACTTTCAAAAAATTGAATATCCAAAATAGGCAAAGTTGTGTTATATTATGATCATAAGTTACTGGTAGTGATTTTGTTTTTAGCTACCCAAAACAAATTAGTTAAAATATGTTTATTTAATCCTTTAAACAATAACCTGACATGATCAGTGACCTTGTTCCCATTTTTCAAATGAGGATGCTAAAACCCAGAGAAACTAAGGAACATGCCCATAGTCACACAGCTAGTCATGAGCATGGTATATAGGTGTGGGCTCCCTCACTCTAGGCTGTAGCCTTCCTTCTGTACCTCATTACCTCTCAGAATGGTACAGCAGTTTGGAGAAGTAACTTGACAACCTGTTATAAAAAAAGGTCAGAACAATGTTCACAGTGTTGAACACAGTGAAACCCTCTCTCAAAAAACCAAACCAAATTAAACTCCCCCCTCAAAAAAAAGTTCATAGTCTTTTTTTTTTAATTTAAGGAGAAAAAGAAAAAAACAGAAACAGGGTACAAAAAGTTCATAGTCTTTAACCTAATAATTCCATCTTTGTTTATCTGCTAAGTAAAGAAGTCAGCATTGAGTAAAGTCTGCATGCCCAAAAATATTGATCACAATGTGATCACAATGTGTTAACAATGTCATTTGTTAACATTTTAGGGCGTTCCAGTGTCATATAACTGGTTAGGATCACAAGTGCTCTTGCTTTCTATTTTTCTCTATTTTAAAATCACTCTTCTCCATAATAACTGATTGTACTTTACTCTGTATGTATGTGTGGTACTGGAGACTGAATCCAAGGCTTTCTAACTGAGCTACATCCTCAGCAATTTTTTTATTTTTTATTTTGAAACACGGTCTTGCTAACTCACTTAGTTGCCCTGGCTGGGCTCAGATTTGTGATCCTCCTACCTCAGGCTCCCAGAACCTTGGGATTATAGGCATGCCTCACTGTGCCTGGATGCTTATACTGTACTTTAATGTATTACTCTATGTATTACTGCATGTCCAAGTATTCACTCAAGAATTGATTTTTCTATTCACCTACAGTTTCTTCTCCTTTTGAAATTGACCTTTGAATTAGAAATGTGATGATCACTTTTGTTCCAGCTGTTTTAGAATAAGAAATGTATAGTAGCCCTATTGGGTCCAAAACATAAATGCTTTGTACTACAGTTCTTTTTCTTTCAGGCAGAGGCAAAAGGGAAATAGCATAGAGATGGTTCCCAGCTTACCATAGAACAAGGCTTGATACACTGGTACCTTGGTTCATGAACTTTGTTTGTTTTATAATTTTGGAAAAGATAGCCACATTTGTATTCTTGTGGGAAAGATGGTTGTTGTCATCCCCTGATGCAAAATTCACAAACAAAAATAAAATTTTGCTATATGCTTCTGTTTATGAACCAAATTGTAAACAAAAGTGTTCATGAACCAAGATACAATGGCATGAAATTATATCAATGCAGCTATTCTTATTTTCATTTTCAATGTAGTAATAAGTTGCATGAAATTCTAAATGTGAGGTATTCATCACTCTTATAAAATAGGCTTTGTGTTAGATGATTTTGTCCAACTTTAGACCAATATAAATGTTCATCCACCTTTAAGATATGCTAGGCTAAGCTGTGATGTTAGTAGGTTGGAGCTATTAAATACATTTTTGGCTTATGATTTTACACTGAGTTTGTCAGGATTTACCTGCATCATAAATTAAGGAGGGTCTGTAATTATCCATTTCCATTTCACTCCTTTGCTAGTCTGTGTTTTGCTGTTCCACTCCTGTGCCCAGAGTCAGCCATGCTACTGGCTTTGGTTGCAGTGCGGTAGGAAGTCATGAAAGCAATTGACAGATGAGGAAACCTATGTACCATCACCTATCTCTTCTATAGGGTTTTACAAAACCTCCTTACATCATTGAGATTATGCCTTAGTGACATCTGCTAACATGGGCTGTTCCTTGATGGCACCACTTTGGAGAAATCAAAAGGAAACTCAGCTTCTAACCCAGTGAGATGCACTCACAAGGGTAGAGGCTTGTTTCAAAACGATCTGGATTCTCTGCCTACTCTGTTTGAAAGCCAGCCAGAAGGTCTTAGAAGCTGGACAGAAATATGCTTTAGTTATCTAAAATAAGTAATCATTTTGCTTAGTACTTGAGATTCATAATATATATTATTGTTCCAGTGAGCAAAATAAAATATGGGGTATGTTACTGTAGAGGACCTTATTCCTGGTTCATAAACATTAAGTCATAGGCCCTATGTCAGGGTCTAAGACTACCCCTGGGTGGACTCACAGGACCCAGAACATTGTCATGCTCTTGACTACAGGTCATTACAGCAAAAGGACAGAGGGTAAAATCAGCAAAAGAAAGTACTTCCAAGTGTCCTCTCCCAGTAGTGTCAGATAAGACATAACAGTGTGGCAGGTGTTCACATAAATTGCATTGTCTACACAAGCAGTTTCAATATTACAAGCCACTCTTAACCAAGGAATGGTAGGAACACGCCTAAATCCAGGGTCCAGTAGGTCGTTCTGATGATGGCAGTCGCAGCTCAGCCTGCTGAGCTTACTTTTCTGCACAGGACCTTAGATGAGAAGGGACTTGTTCATGCTCCAACTGCCTTGGTTACTTTTCTCATTGCTGAGACAAAATAGCACAAGTTAAGGGAAGAAAGGTTTATTTAGCTCATAGCTTATAGAGATTTCAGTTCATAGTCAGCTGGCTCCAAGGCAGGGTAGCTTGGCAGAGGGGCAGCAGTTCACAGGTGTGGAAAATAGCAAAAGCAACCAAAAGAAGACAAGACAAGCCTCTTCCTCTCCCTTATATTGTATCCAGTTTACCAGGATTAGGGTGGTGCCAATCCAATCAGTGGACTGATCTAGCCATCCTTAATCCCAGCATTGCATTATGAATCAATCATACTCTAGATTCAGCCACCTTCGAAAAAATCCTATCCCCCATAACTACATACAAGAGGATTGAGGGATACATCTAGACACAAACCATAACATCAGCCCAACTGCACAGTTTACACTTAAAGGATTTAAAACCTGGTAAAATGGCTTGGCTTGTTCAAGATTCTAGAATTCTCTGGTAGGTCTGCTAGGAAAGCCCAGAGGTTGTATTCCAAGGCCAGGACTTTCTTGACACTGTTCTTGGAGGGCCTTGATGACCACTTTGTCCAAATTCATATTTTTAAAATATTCATCCTTAAGTCACAAGTAACAGTGAAACTTATAAAAACTCTGACTAAAGAAATGAGTTCTAAATGGTATATAATAAGCCCATTATTAATGAAATCTAGTGGCCCACTCTGAGCACTTTAGAAATACATCAAGGGATGAAACTTGTAGTATGAACAGAATAATCCAAGTATTGTTAAACAAAAAATGGAGAGGAGTCGGGGAGAGGTAGGGAGGGAACAAATGAAGGAAGAAAGGAAATTCAACAAATGTTAATGATGATTGCCTTTGGGCAGTAGGACAATCCACAGATCATTTTATAATTTCTTTTTTTCCACAATGAGTATTTTTTGTTCTTTTGTTTTTTTTTTTTTTTTTTTTGTCTTTTGAGACAGGGTTTCACTAGGCAGTTCAGGCTGGCCTTGAACTCACTTTATAGCCCAGGTTGGCCTAACTCACAGCAATCCTCCTGCCTCGGCCTCCTGCTGAGTATGGAGATTATAGGCATGTGTCACCACACCCAGGAAAGTATGTTACTATTTTTTTAAGTAAAATTATTTTAAACAAGTTTTTGAAAGAAATTATAGCCCTGGCCACTAATCTTCAGGCCCCCATCACAAGGTTTCCCACCCGCCCTATCCAACTGGGATGCAGTCTCACCAAAAGTAGGGTCAATCTTTGATTGAAGGGAACAGTAATTTGGCCAGCCTCTTAGGAGGACAATTTGGAAATTACTAATGAAATTCTAAATGTGCAGTATTTAAAATGACTCATTAGTTCCATATACACAAAGGTACAGGAATATTCATCATAACACTTTTCAGCTCATAAAAGATAAGGACATGGAGGCTGAGATTATTGTTCATGGTAGAGCACTTGCCTCAGTACTGGGGGAAAAATGAGGACAGCCCACTGTCCCTCAGTAGACATCTGGTACATCCATATAGTAGTATACCACACAACCACAAGAAAGTGACGTTGTCTGTTGCCTTGGAAGAAAAGCTCCTTCCATTATTTTTTCTCTTTGACTTTCTTACAGTGTATTTGTTACTATTAGAAATATATGGGTTATTTTGTTTTGTTTTTTGTCTTTTTGAGACAAGGTCTTACTACATGGTTTGGGGTAGTCTTAAGCTCACTTTGTAGCCCAAGCTGATCTCAAATTTGCAATGATCCTCTTGCCTCAGCCTCCCAAATGCTGGGATTACAGGCATATGCCACCACACCAGGCTTAAACGTGTATGTTTTATGTACATATTTTAAGTGCTAAGTTTGTCTGAAATGAGTTTGGCAAAAATAGAACTAACCAGAGGTGGAGAAAATGTGTTTTGTCATTCATTTATAAAAGGAGAATGTATAGAATTTATAAAAATTCTTTGTAAAATTATGTCTATTGGATTAGAAATCTAAGAAGCAAATATATCAAAATACTGTTTCTAAGATATGGTAATGATTCTGTGGTGACATAGAGAAATGTCTATCTTTGGAGATATACTAAAATAGGTAAGACTGAATTGTCAGCAACTTTCAAAATGTTTAGCAAAAATATAAGGTGTGTATATGGGCTGAGGATATAGCTCAGTGGCACAATGCCTGCCTGGTAAATATGAAGTCATGAGTTTTATTCCCAGTACCAAAAACAAAACAAAACAAAAAAAGTAAAGTGTGTATGCTAAGAGGGAAAAAAACAAAGTGGTAAAATTCTAACAACCACTGAACCCAGGTGAAAGATATATGAATGTTTATTTTACTAGCCTTTTAACTTTTCTATAAGATTGAGATATTTCAAAAGAAAAAAATTTGACCAAAAAAATCTTAAAAACTTCTGGAGGAAAGAAAACGCCATTACAAAACACTGATTAAAGACTCAATTGCAGAAGTTGGTCTTTGTCATTCCATCTCTGCAACCTGTCAAATAAACAGGAATGTTTAGGTCGAATCCATCTCCACTTGGCAAAGGGTGCTGGTTAGCTTGGCAGTCTTGGACTCTTCCTTAACAGATTCACTTAGCAGTTGTGTCCTTTCTCATCTCTGTGCTCCTCAGTGCTGCAAGAAGCCCATGTAACAGCTCACTGACACTGGACAGCAGGAGGCCAACCAGCCTTGTAGGTAAAGAGCTCATCCTTGCCTTCTTCCTCCTACTCCTGCTGGTTTGGTTCCTGAACCGAGAGTTTGAAGTCAGCTACCGCTTGCACTACCATGGGGATGTGGAAGCAGACCTTCACCGTACCAAGATCCAGAGCATGAGGGACCAGGCTGACTGGCTGCTTAGGAACATCATACCCTACCACGTTGCTGAGCAACTAAAAGTCTCCCAGACTTACTCCAAGAACCATGACAGTGGAGGAGTGATCTTTGCCAGCATTGTCAACTTCAGTGAGTTCTACGAGGAGAATTACGAAGGGGGCAAGGAGTGCTACCGAGTCCTCAACGAGCTCATTGGTGACTTTGATGAGCTCCTGAGCAAGCCAGACTACAACAGTATTGAGAAGATCAAGACCATTGGGGCCACATACATGGCGGCATCGGGGCTCAATACAGCCCAGTGCCAGGAGGGCAGTCATCCGCAGGAGCACCTGCGTATCCTGTTTGAGTTTGCCAAGGAGATGATGCGTGTGGTGGATGACTTCAACAACAACATGCTGTGGTTCAACTTCAAGCTCAGGGTTGGCTTTAACCATGGGCCACTCACAGCAGGTGTCATTGGCACCACCAAGCTGCTCTATGATATTTGGGGGGACACCGTCAACATTGCCAGCAGGATGGACACCACTGGGGTAGAGTGTCGAATCCAGGTGAGTGAGGAGAGCTACCGTGTGCTGAGTAAAATGGGCTATGACTTTGACTACCGTGGAACAGTGAATGTCAAGGGGAAAGGGCAGATGAAAACCTACCTTTACCCAAAGTGTGTGGATAATGGGGTGGTGCCACAGCACCAGCTTTCCATCTCCCCAGACATCCGAGTCCAGGTGGATGGCAGCATCGGACGGTCTCCCACAGATGAGATTGCCAACCTGGTGCCTTCTGTCCCATATTCAGACAAGACATCCCTGGGCTCAGATGACAACACCCCAGCCAAGGACACACACCTGTATTCTAAGAGGCCCTGGAAAGAGCCCATCAAAGTGGAAGAAAGGTGTCAGTTTGGTAAAGCCATAGAGAAGGATGACTGTGAAGACATGGGAATGGAAGAAGCCAATGAACTCACCAAACTCAACGTCTCAAAGAGTGTGTAAGGCAGCACTGAAAGCTGCCTGAGGTGCTCTGTTCATTGAAACACAATAATATTTGTATTTGGCTGTTGTGCTTTTAAGCGCCACAGTTTTTGTCCCTAGACGTGGTATTATGTGGTCATTTCAACCCTAAATTCTGTGTGGATCACAGTTATTCAGGGCTCATTTTCATCCATTTCTTCTTTACTTTGCTCCCTTCCCTGAAAACCAGCCCCCTTGGGGTACTCCGTTCAGCCATGTGGAGGAGAACAAGTGCCTTCAGGGTTGGCCTTGGCCTCAAGTCTAGGATTGAGGCCACAGGTAGAATTATGGCTCTTTTTGGGTATTATTTGACTTTTAAGCAAAAGCTGTGTTTAAGATACCATTTTTTATTGCCTTTTCTCACAAGACACTTGGTGGGGGGGGGTCATACAATGTTTTTGTTTTATTTTTTCTGTATATGTAATAGTGTTTCCCAGTTACCTGACCTTTCTAAGTAAGCACATACACGCACACACATTGCATTTATGACTCTGATATAAAGTGCCAGTAACTCACTGGGGAGGCGAGAGGAAGAAGGGTGAGGGAACCTCAAGGCCCTCCTCCCCACGCTCCCCAGAGCACCCAGGCCCTCTCCTGTGGGGGCTGTAGGTGGACCACACACCCAACACTGTGGGGTTTCTGGGGTTCACCTGTGTGCAGGCCAAGATTTCAAATGTTCACCAGGCACAGAGCTTGTAAGCCCAGGCCTCAGGTATCTCAAAGCCGTTTTTCATCCTGACCCTGCTCCAAGGGGTCTTCTAGTTGGGAATGAAGGTGTCTTGGAAGCTGACTTGTCTGAGGGGAGAACTCAAATGTCTGAGGGGTGTGTTTATTTATTTATTTATTTATCAGTATGTATGTGTTTTGGGGAAGGGTGCTGGATCATTTTGGTGGAGGGAAATAAGCTGGAGTGGAGGGCAGGCCAGTTCACAAAGGGCACAGATGTATGACAAGCTGTCCCTTCATGTTTCAGCCACTGGGGGCCACATTGCCCTAGGTGCTCCCCCTTGTTGAGTTCCAAATCAAAACCAGCAGGCTGGTAGAGACGGTGTCTTGGCCTCTATAAATTCAAAGTTTCTTCATTCTTTCCCACACTCCAATTGCACAGGCTGGTCTGTGGCAGAATTTAATCTCATGAGCCAAGTCCAGCCAATTGAGAGGGGCTTCTTAGCTGTACAGAACCATCTGTACACAAATGGCAGAGGAAACTCAAGGAAAATCAGTCACTGCTCTTGGTTGCCACTTCTGCTTTTGTGTGTGTGATTTGCCACATTGAGCCTGAAATTTATGTCCAATGGCACACAGGCTACAGTTGTTCTCTCTTAGTTATTTTCCAGGTGATGCTGGCGTGCAGCCCAGGATACAACTGAGGACTAGCTCTGTATCTGTTGGAGTTCTTCATACAGTTCCCCAAGTGTGTTCTTTCATTGGTAAACCTCACTGTATACTTTCCACTTCTTCATTTAAGTCCCTTCATTACTCCTTCCCAAAGAAAAGAGATTCTTCCGTTTCTGGCATGATGACATCTTGATTCTGGTCAGCCACTTCCCCGGGGGGGAAATCTGACATGGCCATCTGGCAGCACACAGTGGTCTCAGAATTGAGAACTTTCTCAGTGACTGCGAGCTTTTCCTTCAGGTTTGACTGTCAGTTTGTTGGTCTTCCAACTCCGAAGAAAATATGGTTATGACAATACCTCTTGCTTCTGAAGAATGTATTCTTATAAAACACCACAGATTTTTTTTTCTTATAAAACACTACCTGATGCTTTCCTTGTGCTAAGAATTATGGGCATGTTGAATTTTATACCATCAGTATTATGTGAGTGTTGTCCTCTCCTCTGCCTTCCATCTCCGGGCTGCATAGCTTTTAGGGGCTGGTAGATTGCTCATGTTTTTGCTGTCTCGCTCAAAATATGCTCTACCAAGTTCATCTCTGCACACACTTTTCCCCCATCATGCTGTTTTCCTTCCCCTACCACAGAGGTGTTTGTGATCCCTCTCCCAATGTGGAACCCCAGAGCTGCAAACTGACCGGAGAGAAGCATTAACCTCGGGTGGTCTGGTTCAGCATTGTACCAATGGAGTGTCTGACAAAGGGCAGCTCATCATACGGAGGATAAATGGTTTTTTAAAACACCCTGAGCCTTCCTAGAGAACCAGTGCAGATGTGCTCTTGGGGCCTTGTGACCCCTGGGACTTTCCCAGCTCCCTGCTCTGAAGCATACCTCATTGAAGAACCACAGAATCTCGTGGCACACCTGCCATGCATCTCAGTCTGTCAGCATTGAACAAGTAGTTGTTGCTGGATGCAGATGGGCTTCTAGGCAGTGGGCTCAAATGCTGCAGGTGGCAATACTTCTTAGGAACCTAGGGCAGGAAGCAATACTTCAGAATTGAATGTGTGTAAATAGTTGCTTTGAATTGCAATTGCTATTTTCTTCTCAACCCCAGATCAAATTTTATATATCTGTATGATCAACAAGCACACATAATTTTATCAGTGCAAATAAATGTAGAGCATCAGTTATGAAATCCTTATATCACTTGAAGAGTCCCACAGATTGTGCCACACCTGCGCATGGCTCCTTCAACGCTGACTTCACTGGTTGGGGCTGCACCTGCACATTTGCACATGATGTGGAGAGTTCAAGGCAGCGTGCAACCCATTACCTGGGCTGTAATCACTTGTAGTTTAAAGATACATCTGCATTTGAATTTCTAGATTTCTGAGGTAAGCATTTTTTTGATCAGTTGTTTCAGAAAATCACATCTTGCCTAGAATCTGAAATTAAATTAAGGAGAACCAACTGTTTGCATTTTCCACATTTTGTTTGCTCTGCTCTTTTAAAATGGTTAATTCTAAGAACTTCAAAATGCATTCACTGAAAAAAATGGACATTAAAATGTTCTAAAATCTAACTTTGGTGCCTTTTTCCTCATTGAAAAGACCAGCACCTCTTCAGAGATGAGGGTAGTCCTTCTTATATACCTCATGTTCTCTACAGTTTGTAGTTGAAATGGGAAGATTTATTTTTCCTTCCTGTTTGTGTGTGTGTGTAGTGTGTGTATGTGTGTATGTGTGTATGTTAATGGACACACTTGTTACATTTAACTTTGTTTGAGAGGCATTTATTTTTACATGGAATTTTAAAAATAAAAATCAGAATGCAGGATATATTTACTCGTGACAGGTTCTCTATCGGACCTCTATTTAAATGGTTTTTCTTGAAGCATCTTACAAAGAATTGTCAGAAAAAAACAGTAGGTTTTCTGAAAAGATCACCCAGCAGTCTCTTCCTTACAAGGTGACTTGTAAATACTCCTGATGTTTTAGGGAAACCAAAGCCCAGTTCAGAATCTGGTTAAAGTGATAGTGTCTTCCGAGAAAACACATATGTCATTTTGTACATATTTTAGGGGTTTACAACACCTCCAAATCTAAACTATGGATCTTCTAGAGGCTCATCCCCTGATGACTTTTCCTGGTGAGTCAAGTAATTATGAGAATTTCAGGGCATGAAGATGTTTTTTGCATACTCAGAGGATGAAGACACTCATCAGTTTGCAGGGATTCATCCTCTACTGGCTCAGTATCGCTGAGAACACTGATCACTGTGGAGAGCCCAAAACAGTGTGCCTGGTGCCGGCCTCCCTACACCCCCCCCCCCCCTGCACTGGGAACTTTTCCCAGCCTAAGGAATAGAGATCTTCACTGCACTGAAGTCTTCAAGAATGTGACTCTCTGCTTAGATAAGATACCCAAAGACTTAGGGTTAAGAAAAATAGGCTCTAATCTTTATGGTAAGCTCCAGAATTTATCATTTGTGGTTTCTCTTTAGTTTGAGAACTTTTTTGCCCCTTTGCTTTTCCTGTGGTGGAGCTCTAGCGTTATAACCACCTGGAATCAATCCCAAGTACCAGGAGAGAAATCTAACTGAAGGAAGACCCACCTGAGAATGTAAGAAAAAAAATACACATTTGTACATTTTACATGTGTGTATTTTAAATCTTGCTACATGTTTGTTTTTCTACAACCCCAAACTTTAATAAAATAACATAGTCCAGAGAGTCATTAGTGAAAGTAATTTAAACTGGGGGATTGTATTCCTGCTGGATCTGAAAGTCTGCAAAAATGAATGAAGCCATGTGAGTACCTTTTAAATCTCATTCATCAACAGCAGTGATTCTTAACTGCCCAATTGGCTCCCAGAACCTTTAATAATTTGACGAAGTTATAGCGCTTTTCTCTGGAGAAAGATGAACCTCAGGCCGCATTTCTGGGCCGGCTCAGAAAGCAGCAAGCCATACCCTGGGGCCAGTGTGGAACCCAAGCAGAGTCCCTCCCAGTCCCACCAAGGAACCCCATAGCTGTCCTTAGAAGGGAAGGACTGGGATAGAACAGAGAGCCAGATTGGGAGTTCCCAAGAGAGCGGGTATCGATGAAGAGCAGATCATCAGTATCCAGTGACAATACAGCAGTTTGGCACCACATGCATCCTGAGTGCCTCAGTTCAAGTGTATCATAAGCCATCAGACAAATACCAAAAGGGCTCTGGGTAGCTCCTAGCAAAGCACTAACTCAAGGACAGGAGCTGGACGTGGTGGCATATGGCTGTAATCCCAGTAATCAGGAGGCTGAAGCAGGAGGATTGCTGAGTGTTCCAGGCCAGTCTGGGATACAAAGTGATTTCAAGGCCAACCTAAACTGCATAATGAGACCCTGTCTCCAAAAAAATAAAAAGTAAACTCAAGGACTGATAACAACATGGATGAGACCAAGCAAAAAACCAAAGCTTTAATGTATCTTTAGAATCTATACCAATCTTGTGACACACAAGCACTGTCCAATTAGCCATCCCTGAGATGGTCCTATTATTACAAGTCTCCTTTCTAAGCTAAAGCAGCTATCCCCATACCAAAAACAGTTCCATGAGGCACATGTGTTAAGATGGAGTGCTCCACTGAGCTTTCTCCTAACAGATACCCTTAACATGATGTCATCGACACTGTGGTATAATATCACTGTGCAGGCATAATAAAGGTACATGTAGCCTTCTGATTGTAGATGGTAGTCAGGGAAAATGTAGAGGAGAAGGTTGGAGGGGAGGAAAACTAAACTCAAACCTGAACCTTAACATTAACCACTTTTTCCAGAAGGCAAAAACAGTATTGAGTGGGAAACTCCAAGTTTTATTTCAGTTAAGAGGACAAAGTTCCTTTTTAGGAATCTTATTGTAAATAAAAGAAACCACTTGCTCTGTCAGTCACATACAGGATTGTATTTGTGAAATATTAAGCTGGCTCTCTATTTAGATAAAAGCATATTATTGTTAATTACCACAGGCCTTGTAATTATTGTATATTTAAATGTTTCACTGTATGAGAAAATTTCACACATCAGATCAAGAAAATCTGAGAAAATGACTCAAAATACAATATAACTCAAATTTTGTTGTTGATTTATTATGGTCTTGGTACAATTTCATCTAGAAAATGTGCATAAGTTACTGACCAGAGCATTAGTTTATCTGCAAGGGCCCTGAGACATCATTTTGTTTTCGGAGACAAAATCTTTCTCTGCCAGCAGGCTGGTCTTAAACTCATGGTGATCCTCCTGCTTCGGCTTCTCAAGTACTGGGATCACAGATGTGCACCACCACACCCAGAACTAGACATCTTTTTAATACAACATCAATTCACGGCTTACCCATCCATGTGTGATCACTACAGTTATAAAGGGACACAGTCTGGTCCTTGAATTTTTAAATTTTTTATATTTTTAAAAGCTGTGGATTAAGTCCAGGGCCTCAAAGCACTGTTTCTTGAGCCACCCCTGCCAGCCCCCATCCTTGCATTTTAATCCCCTGACTCAAATGCCAGGATTTGAGGAGCCTCTGGCCCTAACACAAGCATTTCCAAGGAAAAAGTATGGTAACCTCCATTCAGCTTGTCCTCTGCTGAGCCATCCTCAGATCCTCTTTACTCAAGTAGGATTGTCCAGGACACAGTGTGGCTCCAAATTTTTAGGGCCTTAAATGTCCCTTTTGGGAGTGAGGTTCAGTAACCCCCTTTCCTCTGACAGGAATTTGTGTAGAAAGGCAGCTAAAAAAAGAGAAAAAAGCCCCTCTCCCTGGTGTCTCTTGGCCAGATGCCAAGAAAGAAGGTGAAGCGTGGCTGTATTCAGAACTGTGCAGGAGATGCACTGCTCCCCACTTTCTGTGAGACTTCGCTGGAGCTTGTTCAACGCTGAGCTCACAGACAGGAGTGAAACAAAGCTTGTTTTATTTGGATTGCTTTGAGCAAAAATAGAAAGAAACGGCTCATTTTTTCCAGTGGCTTTAAAATTTTTTATTTTTTTGATCAATAGTACAGATCCAAAGTAAGTATTTATTCACTGTCCCAATTTCCCAATCTTTTAATTTAGACACGTGAATGCCAGTTTCCGAGATTTTAAGAATATGCTGAAAACAAGCCACCAAGTTTTCCACATGTGGTTAAATCAGATTTCTAGCACAGACCCTTCGGTGTGCATCTCTTAAATGTAAGTGTGGTTTTTAGTTGTCTTTGGGAAACCAGGTGTGTGGAGCTGATTAGCAAACAATATAAAGAGAGGTTATGCTCTCCTTGGGAAAAAACTGGTGGGGTATTGTTTGTCTGCTCTGGTTTTTTGTTTGTTTGATTGTTTGCTTGAATTCAGCTCAACTAGTAGAGAAAAAAAATTCAGGCTGGTGATGCAGCTCAGAGGTTGAGTACTTGACTAGTTTGACCTCCAGCAACACAAAATAAATTAAAAAGGAAAAGGGGCAGGGCAATTCCTGCCCTTTTCACCACTTAGGATTGTGAAGGAAAGGTGGGAAGGTCTTTAAATGCATATGTTAACAAATGTCTTCATAGCCAGCAATCTGTTTTGACAATTCAGGAAAATCATTCACCTCCTCTTTTATCCACTATCTTTTAGAATGTCGTTGGGCCACAAGAAGTAAACAGTTTTGAGCTAGTGGCTCTCCCTGTGACTGAAGACTGGGCAGTATACCTCATCCATTATCATATTGCACAGAGGCAGCTAGCATCCCAGTTCCATGATGTTCTTTTGAAAACAAAAAAGCAAATGTATAACAAACTGTCATAGGTAAAGGGATCTATAAGCAAATGCAAAAACCCAGGGATATTGTTCTCCATTTTAAAAGGGTATTAGTTTTAGTTTTTATTTACTAATTGATTTTGCTGGATTTTTTTTCAATTAGTCATTTTCGTACTGCTGTAAGGCATTAAGATTTGATGCCAATGACATTCATTAGACTGCTCCATTATCTTGTGAATTCAGTGCCCATCTGTCTCACGTATGCTTCCTCTGGTGGCTTGGCCAGGTACTGGACATACACATTCTTATGAAACACACAAATAAGCAACCATGCACAGAGACCCAGGATGAATCATAAAGGCCATATCTACTTGGATTAAAAATTCTCCTGAAGGAAAGGCGGAGGTCTCCCCAGAAAAGTGCACATATATTGGTAGGCCCTTGAGAGTAGATTTAAATAAATAGTCCTTCCAGCTCAGCAAGCATCATTTTGTTTCTATCTGTTCACCATCCTTTCATTCGCAATAAACCTGACAAAAAACTTGCAGAATGAAAATAGGAATGTTCATATCTGAAGGAAATGTTGGCAGACAGCCACAGACTTGAAGTACGCAAGCAAAATTTGCTCTTGTTTTTCTGCCAATAACTCCTTGGCCTCCACATGCTCTGCACAGGCAGGGCCTGAAGATGGATTCTGGTCTTGTTGAAAACCCTCAGTGCAGAAGGCAATGAATCATGGTGAAGTGAACTTCCTCTGTTCTGGAGTGGGCTATTTCTCCTTGGGCCCATCTCAGCCCTGCAATCAGGCAGCAAGCAGTCCGGGGGCCATAAACTCCTT